AATTTGTTTTTTAAGTCTTACCTTTTATTACTTAGCCTAATATTTGGCATAAAAGTACTTGATAAATAGGCTGTGTATTTCAATCTACCAACGATTTTATTCTAAAAATTGATGATTTATAGCATCATTTGCAAGAAATTCAGTTTGTTCATTAGTCATAGTGTGGGGCTGTCAGTTGCTGGATGTAAAGTGATAATAAAAAATATTTGGTGCACAGATGTCAAATTAGAGGTGGATGAGAATGAAAACCAGGCATATTTTTTAGTTGTTCTTAAAAGTTTTACATGTCTATGTAACAACCAAAAAATTATTACTTATACTAATTGGTAAGATTCCCTTAAATAAAAAAATGGTAATCAAAATAGAATGCCTGATCAGTAGTAGTAACTCGTGTTCAAAAGGCACAATATTTGTTATCAACGGTAAAAATTACTGCTCTGATTATGAGAAAATTTTATTTGTGAAACACACACAATGAGATCTATAATTAAACTGAAGGTATTTTTAATCAAATATCACTTCAAAGCTAGGACATGCATATTATCAGCATTAGTTTTATAAGAGCTTATACTAAATGTAATAGAAACTTTCTTAAAGTTATTACTTTTAGAAAATTTTATGTGTCTATGCAACTAAATTTGAAAGTCATATACACAAGTTTACCTATTTTCACTGTACTGAACTATTCCTTGCTGTTGTTAGGTGTCTAGCATGTAAAATACAACAAAGAATGAGAGAAAACTTTGAAAAGCGTGAAGGAAATTTAAAAGATTGCCCGATATAAATTGTACTATTCTTCAAGTAAATTAATTGCTTCTTACTATCCATGGTCAAGTACTTTCAACAGAACCTAAAGAAGTTTGGATTAGATATATGGTTCTGTTTATTATTTCTACAGCTTGCTTTTTCATGCACTGCTCTATTACCAAATATATGAACACCTGATGCACATCTCTTTGAATTTACAATAATTGTAAGTCACCATTAAAGCGAACACATCTGCTTGATTCCACTGGTATTTGAGAAAAGAATTCCTAATTTGGGTTTCAACTATGAACTTTATGTTTTCAAATATTATGATCTTTAAAGATTTGGAAAAAATTAAGCCCTAGGATTTGCTTACAAGATTAAAAGAAAAGTCACAAACATATTCTAATATTCATATGCATAAAAAAGCAAGAAAAATGTATTGTTCACAAATCATGTACATCTGCCTTGTAAATAAAACCAAACATATATTGTAATTTTCTATACTTGAAACTGCCCAAAAGGAGATTCATGTGTGACTAATTATTTAAACTACCTGTAACATAACTTATAGAACTTCTATAAGCAATGTATAGATCTATGATTCAACACTAATTTACTGAAATTCTCCAAAGTAATTTCTGTAATGTGATACTGTTCCATGTATCACTTACCAGTGCCAAACAGCAGCTATTGCTATGTTATTTGTAAGTTTAACTCTGCATCTGCATTATTAATTCACCAATGGCACAATAGGTTTTCATTGGAAGTTTGGCTTACCAATGGACAGCTTTTTGGTTTAACTTGCTCATTTATTTGCTGACTTACTTTCAACTGTATACAAAAGTAGTTTCAATCTTTGGTTTGCACTAATTATATGTGCTTTATTTTCTAGATACTCATGTATGTAAAACACTATCCACTCATTACATCAGCATCTTGTAAACATTAAAAAATACTAAAAATAATTGTTTTAAACCTTTATAACAGGTGCATATGCAAGATGTTTAGGTTATGGTCTTTGAATCATAATTTTTTATAACAACTCAATAAGATTTCAGTAATGGTGCATTTACAACATAGTTTATAATATTAAGAGCTTTACAGTTCGTTTTAAAATAATACAAGACTGACTTTATGTTGTTGCCAAAATTACACGAATACTTGCTCAAAATCAAATATCAAGCTAAGAAACACAAATACGTGACAAAATGGTAATGTTAAACAATTTTCAAATAAAGATATAAATTAAAATATTAAGAATGTACTATATGCTATTCACGTTTTTTTTTTTTTCACTGGTGTATGGTAAGTGCACCCAGTTCTTGCGATCAAACTTGACTAGATGACCATGAAAAAAGGGCTCTTCTTCACAGTACCATTTCTTAATGTCAAAATGAGGAAAGAAAAACCTAATTTCCTTCTCTGCCGTCTGTGACGAATCAGATCCATGTGCTGCATTTCTTGTGTCGGAGATACCAAATCTTGCACGAATAGAATAAGGGGCTTCATACTGTGCTTTAAACACTTTTGTTGGACCTAGTAAATGCCTCCAATGTTGAATGGCATTTTCTCTTCCTAATATATGAACAGCAATAGCACCACTACACATAAATGACACCAATCGTTTATAAAAGAACTTTTCTCTATGTTCCCGATAAAAAAATTCAGCTTCTTTAGTATTCAGGGTCATGCATTTAGATTTAACAAAATAAAAGTTATTGTCAAGAATTAACTGTCTAATTACAAGAACGTCTTGTGGAATTTTACACACACTGGGTTTCAAAATAGCAAGTGTCAACTCCAAAGGATTCATACTATCAGATTTACAAATGTGACAACAAAACAACTTACGGTAGGTATTAATAGGACTATATATAGGCGTCCATTTGTAAAATTTTCTCCACATATTTTCTTTGTAGTCTAAAACTTCAGTAACAAATAAAGCTCTATACCGTTATTTCTCCCTATTTCATATCGAGGCTTTTATATTATGAAACACAAAAAGAACGAATAAGTTAATTTAAATAATAATAAATTGTTACAAACAAGAACCCAACACTTTTCATGCATGTAAAGGATATATATGAAGTAAACTAAATGATGAAGGATATAACAACTATCTAACAGTATATTATACAAAAACATTGGATCCTGTACAAATACATGATGTGCATAAACACACAACCATTCTTCGTTTCCAGATAACGCTAAATACTATTTCTTCCAAATCCACCCGTAGCATAATTTGGTACCAGATTCTTCCATCACGAAAGTGAAGTTAGCTTCTCTTTTGTATTCAAAGAATGCCGTATATTTAATGTCACAAAAAAGAGTGAAAAATCAAATGAGACAAACGAATTTTGCTCATATTTCAAAATAGAAATCTAAAACATGGTGTTTACACTTTGTAATAGAATCTTTTATCACAAATTATTGAATTTTCCAACATACTTCAAATATAGTTATATTGGAAATAAATAATATAACAGGGTTTCCGCGGGTCCTTGAAAATCTGAAACAACATGAAATTTGAAAACCATTTTCAAGGCCTAGAAAGCCATAGTATTTGGCATTTTATTCTTAAATATTCTGGTAACTCTTGATATTAGCGAAATTCATCAATAAAAATAAAACAAAAACCTATGTTTGATCAAATAAAATATCTATTTTTTTAAGGAAGATATTGGTTATGTACACTGTGTGTATATACATGTATATTGTTATGTCTCCGTTCGTTAGTTAATTTTCCGTAAATTCGTTCCGACGAAACTTTAGCAACACAAGTCCTTTCTTAAATAAAACTGGTTTATTCTTTCCGAATACAACTTTACGATACACTTAATTTCAACAGTCGCTCTATAGCAAACGCTATAATTCTCAAGGAACGTCTCACGTGCCCAACAATATACTCTCTGTCAGCATACATTCAATTACTCATCCTCCCCGTCGCTTCGTGGCCGGTCTTATATATATATACAAGACTACACTATATCTAGAAGGATCACGAGATTTAAGGAAAGGACGTGAATGTTCGAGAACGACATGACGTGATATTAATCACGTAACCTCGATGTCGTAACAATACATTGTTTTCAATTTCATTAATAGTAAGGGGAAAACTGCCTCTCAGTGGCACAGTGACATGTCTGCAGACTTGCAACGCTAGAAACCTGGTTTCGATACCCGTGGTGGGCAGAGTACAGATAGCCCATTTTGTAGCTTTGTTCGTAACTTTAAACAAACAAGGGGAAAACTCGTGCTTCTCGCACGAAACGGTTTTTGGTTGTGGTATTTTATATTTGAATGTACAAAATTCTACTTTCCTATATTTAAGTAACCTGCCTAGACTACTTAAGTATGAAATTAGGTAAGTAGAGTTGTGAACAAATTTGGTGGTCGTGTGGGGCATTTCAATGACTGCGAGTTTAAACCTATTTTACAACACGTGATACCCACCAAACACCTCTAGTACAAAAGAGACATCCAGTCAATGATCTGATAAAAAAATAACAAGCCAATCGACTTATCTAATAAAAGACATCCGACACAGCGAAATTTTCAAACCCTGTATCGGGGAGAGTATTAGAATTCGGTGATATTGTTCCCAGGTTCCTATTCAACAGTCTGACGAAACTGTTAGTCTAAGTATGTATAAGCTGAACAAATTCACACACAAAGCTATATTGCTGTCTGAGATGGAATTCTAAGGAGTGACAGATCCATTCCCCAAATACATTTCCCTTTGTAATGAATAATATTGTTGCGTCAGCGAGTCACGTGACTACTATGACGCAACGTTTTCTAGAACTATCATGTACTTTGTCGAATGTTCAAGTTCTTACTAGAAATAGGGTACGCTGGTATATAAAGATGGGAATGTAATGTGTGGGG